AGCCTTAATTTATTAATTCATGTACACTTATTTCTTTACAAAAAAAATTATCAAAAATCAATGTTCTATAATGTTTAGTACCTGATTTTTAGTACCCTTTTCAGGTGAAAAAAAAGGCACCCTCTTGTATAATTACAATAAAATAAAATATATTTATTATGTTTTAAAAAGAACAAAATGACAAAAAGAAAAAAGGATAGCATACAACCAAACTGGCAGTAATTGTAATGGTCCGTATAGACCTTTATAAGCTGAGCTGTTTAATTAACGTTCAGCGTATGTTCAGGTCAGGTCATGTATCACAGCTCCCTTGTTATGTTTCGTGTCACACACACGCAAGGTATAGGAAAAATTATTTTGTGCTTGCCATCCTGCTTAGTGTCATTACAGTTAATGTGAAAGAGCCTGGAAAAGATGGAGGGGGGTTGGGTAGTCTTCTTTAACCCTTTTTGGTCACCATGCGATCAGGGTCAAGGCCTAAGCTCTGCATCACAGGCAGAGCCTCTCCTTAGGATGGAAAGGAAAAACACAACTCGTTAAAATGGAATTAATGATCTACAGTAATCCAAGAGAGAATGCTTTATCCTCCGGACCACCAGAGATTTGCTCCTGATGTGACACTGTGGGATATAACATGGGCTTAACGCAGGTCTTTTACATCTAAAAACTGATCAACAGGACCCTGGTTGGAAGCGTCGCAACAGAAGCCAGAGAAATATTTAAGGTTAGTTTTTATTTAGGTCTGGTATTAAGTTTTTGACTGCAATTTATTAAAAAAAATGGGGAAAAAGAAAATATGGTGTTTCCAGCAGCCAATCAGATGAACGTTGTTATTCTTTAGGTTGCACTAGAATAAAATACATTTGGAGTCTTGAGTTGCTTGGGTCAACAACTGATTTTTATATAAGTCGGTCTCCATCAGTCTAACCCTGGCCATAAACATAAAATGAGCATCATTTATTCCAGCCATTTTGGGCTGGTTGGGGTATCTAGACAGCAGCCCCTGTCCTAGTGGGGCAGATTGATCGGACAAGTTTTGAAAACCGTGCCCATTTGCTATTGTTCCTCCCAAGATTAGCTGGCCTCTGTCTCCTCCAGAGCAAAACAAACAATGCTCTGGTGGTCTGAGTGTGCATGTTTATAACCAAAATCAGTCATTAGGACTTTTTCTAACAGTTTTATTGTGCCTGTTTGGCTGTATTCCACAGGTTCATGGCCTATTATATTTATTGAGTGGGTTAAACTATTATTCACTTAAATAGTGCAAAGTGTACAGTGCTGTACCTATAGCAATCAAACAAAATCCATACTGTGCTGGCCTCACAAACTGAATTGTGGTTCAGTTTTTTGTTGGTTCTTATGGGTTATTGATGTTTGTACACAGCACTTTGCTCCTTGCGCTGTTTACGGGATCAGGCCTAAAGTGTTTGAAATATTATTATGTGAGCTCTTCAAGGCAAGCAAGCCAATGCTCATGGCAACTAGTGATGTCCAATTATTAGATGACAGGAGTATTCAGTATGGCTAATTACTATAGATATTAGATCTTGTATTATTTATTGGATGCATGAAAACTGAAACTGAGAAGCTGTTTTTCATAGCAACCAACCCTGCATTGGCTTATTCTATCTTTCTGTTTATTACTCCATTCTTTCCATGTATTTGTTTTTTTTTCAACACAAGTAATCAAGTACTTATAGAATGTTAAAGAAGAACTTTATACTATAGGTAATTGAAGTGACACTAAACTCAGGAGTTACATCTAAAAAAACATTTAAGCACCGTAACTATTAACACAAATGTATCTTATTTTTTGTATCACTCGGATTTAGGTCCTCAAATCATCTCTGAATTGTGTTGACACTGTCCTTTCTTCTGGAGGGTGGCTACTTTTGTTCCCCATGGCTGGTCCCTGTGTGTGTTGTAAAGGAGCCACCGCTCCAAGCTCACTGCCGTGATAGACTATACCAGGGGTCAGCAACCCCCGGCACGCGTGCCCAGCCTGGCACGCGAGACCTTGACAGCTGGCACGCGACGTTATTCTTTATCTGCAGGGCATTCTTGTAGTTGTAGTCTTGTAGTTGACAGCATCGAGACGGCTGTCAATTACATTCCTGGCCCGCCCACCTCCCTCACATGACTGAGCGGCAGAGGCGCGCTGAGGAGGCCCTCACATTCAATGCAAATTAGTAAAGTAAACATGAGATTGTAGTCCTTACTAGAGAAAAAGTTCAGAGCGGTGGAAGGACAGTGTTAAAGGAGAACTATGGGGTCAGTGTTTTTCCCCATAGTTCTCCTTAGGGTAATGGGAGGACACAAACTAGCGTGATTGGAGGATCTACAGCTGAGTGATACACAAATAAGATACATTTTTGTTAATAGCTGAGGTACTTGAATGCATTTTTAAGGTTTAACTCCTGAGTTTAGTTTCACTTTAAGGACTATGTAAACCCAAAATCTGTTTTATAGTTTCTTTGACATCATGTCTCACTGTATACAGTTTTCATAGGCAAATATTTTTTGTGAATCTGGTGCAAAGCTTCTTACCTGGAAATCCTGCCAGTAGCAGCACTTCCTGTTGCAGGCTGACGCCGCTAAGCCACTGCCTTACAAAAAGCAGCAGTGTGGCCAGCCTCCTTCAGTTTACTGTTGGGCTGCCTATCAGGTCTCTGGAAACACTTCTGCTAGTTTCGAGGTAGTCGCTTGGCATTGTCAGCCTGAAAATTTTGCATTTAGACCTACCTACTAAGTGGCTGATATTTTAATTTCTTTCTAGCTGCCTGGGTGCCAATATTCTTACTACACAGAAGCACTATAAATAGTCTCTGTGGTTATAAAAAACTTAGATTACAGGCATAGGCATGCACACAGGATGTGTCGGGTGTGCCTGGGCATTCCATAATCACCCCGAGCGCAGCACCAAAACAGCAACAGCAGGCACCATGTTTTTAGGCACTGAGCTGGTGGAGAGATCACAAGGATCTCTCTGTGCTTGGCTCAGCGACACAGAGCGCACCAGCACTTGCCATTTACAATCCTCAAAAAACAGCTAAAGTCCACAGGGCCTGGAATGCTGTGAGGGTGTGTGGCTGTGGTTTCCCAGGCTTCCCATCCAATCAGGAAGCTGTGAATGTGGTCACATGGCAACCTGCAAGACTCCCTGCTTCATTATTGCACCCCTGCTGGAAACGCATCTTCAATTCAAAGATTTTTCCTGCAGTACTTTTTCTCTGTTGCTAGATGTCCTCAGGCACTTCCTCTGAGCCCAATTTCCTCTCACTGCCTGTCACATCCCCTAGACACATTGCTATCCCTGTAGTAGCAATGGTTACATACATTATTTGCTCATTCCCACCAGTGACCTTTAGAATTGTAACATTGTAACTCATTACTAACATGTATTGTTTCCTATGACCCTTAACTCCTAGTGGCCATAATGCAGTATTTTCCTAATTTACTTTGTTCTTTATGAATAAACTTCTATTGAAGAACATTTGACCCAAAGGAAAATACACAATAAGTTTGTTTTTGTCACAACAGCTGGTTAACTCACACAGAACGAATCTTCCTGCAGTTTCGCTGGACGAATAAGCAATACATATTTTTTTAATTAATAGACCCATTTAGGTTTAAGGTTAAGTTTTGGTATCAGGTTCAAGTTTAGAGCAACTTCGTATAATTAATTTTCAGGTGTTTTAAATTAGTTGTTGGATGCAATTAGTTTTTTAGGAAAACAAATGCTGCTGAAATATATATATATATATAATATCAGTGGTATAAAGCTTGTTGTAAAGTTTTTGGAAACATTTGCTGAAGATTCAATGAATAATCTTTATCAAAATGATTGAAACTTAGAACAGGAATATATTTTTAAATCTTTTTTTGGTATATTAGAATAAATGGTTGTTCTTTACAATAGTTTTTTTGAAGCGACACTAAACTCAGGAGTTCAATCTTAAAAATGCATTCAAGTACTTTCACTATTAACAAAAATCTACCTTATTTGTGTATAATTCGGCTGTAGATCCTCAAATCATCTTTGAATTGGTGCTGACACTGTCCTTCCTTCTGGAGGGTGACTAATTTTGTTCCCCATGGTCCCGGTGTGTGTTGTAAAGTAGCCACCGCTCCAAGCTCGCTCCTGTGATGGACTACAATCTAACATTACATTTATTAATTTGTATTGAGATTGTAGTCCATCACAGGTTGTGAGCTTAGAGCGGTTATGAAATACATGTCCATTTAATACTACCTACAGGTTTACAGCCCTGCTGTGTGATTCCACTACAGAACAAACAGCTTTGCCACCTTGTTAGAAGCAGAAAGGTAACAGATCTATTGTTAGGGTTACCAGGTAGTGTTGGGCTCGATGTTCGAGTCGAACAGGAGTTCGACTCAAACATCGCTAGTGCGTGTGTTGGGCGAACACACGAACTATCAGGGCGTTCGACGGGCTGTTCGCACAGCACAGTGCCTTGTGAAACCCTGATTGGCTAAAGCCCTGCACCTGACCACAGGTGAGGTGGAAGACTTTGCCCAATCATGGCAAAGTGCACTTAAGAGCCATAATTGGGTAAAGTAATGATGACAGCCCAATCATGGTTCACGAGTCAGGTGCCATTCAACTGTAAACAGTTTGGCG